ATGACAATTTCTTTGCCTCAACTGAAGTAAAATTCGATTACTCATTTGTCCTAACACAAAGTTTGACAGAATTAATGTGTCTAGGTTGTAACTGAGAGTTTCTGCTTCTTTTACTTCCTCAAATTCTAATATTGCCGTTTTAAAATGTTATTTGATGGCATTAGTGCTGCAAAGGCGAGGGCGAAAGAAGGGCGACAATGATCAATGATTATTTGCCTTACCTCTAATAAGGAGCTCAAGAATGATAAAGAACAGCTTCGTATTGTCCGGCTTTATCTGAATTGTTAACCGGTCCTCAAATCTATTTAGCAGAGTGACATTGCAATCCGACGTTTGGCTCAGCTTCTGCATAAAGTCGGCAAACTTCTGCTCGGCTTCAACAGCGTTTAATTTGGCGCTCAAATATAACGAACCTTCGTAGAAGGATCTTAGATTTGAGGGCGTATCGCTGGCTCTGAAGAGGTTACAAAATCGGTTAAAAAGAAGTAAAGTTTCTAGAAAATACACTAATTTTGGCATGTGTCATATAAATAACTAATATATGTAAATAGGCTTGATTTGCTACTAAAACTAGGACTGAAGCTTGCTCATGAAACATGACACAGTTATAGCTTCTTGCGGTAAATTGGCTAATAGTTCATTTAATTCACATTCCGAAGGAGCTCTAAATTCAAATGGGCCTCACCAGTATAAGTAGCTGAGGTCATACTCCAACACCAAACGGATCAACTAACGTCAGATTACAGGGAAACTTGATTTTTAGGGCAAGAATAAATTTGTTCGACGGCAGGCTCGCCTTTCATTCCATTTCGAATGAATCGTTTATAAATCCCCTTGTAGGCATAAGAAAAGCGGCATATATCGCTTTCAAAGAAGATATGAACTCCCTACTTTAACGTGCCATCGCTACCGCTATGGCTGATAAACATGTGCTTGCAGTGTTAGCATTCCATTGCAACAGTTTTGTATTGAGTAAGGCCTGCTTTACTAGGAAATCTATGCGTTAAATGGTATTTACTCAAGCTACGAATGTCTGGTGTAGAGGCAACCTTTCGCTGCTATAATTCATATATGGTCAATCCTAAAAAGCATCGGGTGAGGTTGAGAGCTCAGTTTTACTTTTATTAAACAAGGTAGATAGAAATTTAGTATAAAAATTAGGTCTTGACTACAATTCACTACAAGTCAAAATAAGAGTATCTGAAAGGCATATAAATCAAGATTGTGCCTTTAGTGCAAAGTATAGAAAATTAGAACAAATGTAAAAACTAACCAACTAGTAAGCAGTCATCTCTCAACACATGTAACACTAATTGCAGTTTGACTCATCTGCACTATGTGCCGCAGTGACTAGGCCCACCTGGTTAGAACATTAGATCATGATATTAAAAGTACACAAGAGTATTTTAACCCATAAACGCCTTAGATTAGGCACTGCTATCCACCGTTCCCTTTATATACTTGTGACTGTGATGCTGTATCCGAACGCTGTTTTCCTGCACCTACATCAAACTCTGCCACCGCATTTGCTTTCCAACTCCAAATCTTCACCTGCAACATTTCTTGTCCTATACAAGGTGCTCTGCGACTCATCTTTGCTTTTCTACACCAGACCGGAGCATTTATGCAGTAGCTCGAAGCTGAGCGCAAATTTTCAGCAAACATTCAGATCACTAAACTGGTGGGCCCCTTTTAACAGAACCCCTACATGCAACTACGCTAGCTACTTCGCTATATCATATAGAGCAGATAGCGAACTTTGCGTCTGCGAGGAAGGCAGCCATATTTTATTAAATGGTACTATCAACACCAGGGTGCCCTGTTTTAACGGATTCAGCCCTTATCTCTAGTTTGCACCTGACTAGTTAATTTTCAAAGTATATATAAACCAGAGTAGTGAGACCAAAATCCCCATCGTCTTCAAGCATCTGTCAGACAACATAACAAACCTCGTTCAATATTTGTTGCGGAGCCGGCAAGGACTGGAGTGCTATGATAGACGCAAAGTTTATATATTCTAACAGGTTCCACCTTGGTCGCAGAAGGGGCTGGAAGCTGTACTGCTATAAGATAAAAAACTCCCAATATGATTGGCCCGTTCTCTATAGCTTGCCGGATCATCACCCAACCTTGGCCCATGATTCGACAGCTCTGGATGAGGCTGGCTTCGAAGGCTGTTATAGGTCAGCCACTAAAAGAATCTGCTATAAGCGCTGACGACATGATGAAGGTAATCATCCCACAAATTATGACTATCGCAGCGGTCAAAGGCAAGCAACCACAGAGTTCAGAAACAACTAGTAAAGCTGCTACAAAATATGACCCTGAAGTTAAAAGAACAGTCCAAACCATTTCGATCCATACCCAAATCGCATGTTCGCGCGCCCTCAGAGTGACGCATTCTAGCTCCTATTCATAGGGCTCGAAACATAGGAAGTTACGCTCCCACACTCTCGGTTGTGTACCTCCTTGCCCATGACAAGACTGTAGTGTCTGCAGAAGGTTTACACGGTCGGACATCCGGATCAGCGATCACTCACGATCGCCGACTTCTCTTTGCCTACGACAAAAGGTCAAGTTAAAAGTATCTGTCCGGCACAGGGGACGAAG